TGATGTAAAATCCAGCTTTATAAATTTGAATGAAAATCCTCGTAACTCTCAACTCCCGTTAACAGGCCGACCACATAAAGCTCTTCATATGGGTTATCCCATGACCACATCACGAATAATCGTAGGAGTAGCACCTGCATTGTAGAACTGCTTAGGGCCCCAACGTACTGAATCCACACAGACAGTATTCACACGTCCGCCATGTCCTATCTGCCGCCATGTTGATGCTCAAAACAGCAAACTGCGCAGACAATCAACTGCATCGGGAGCGCTGCGCACAGCGTCCCACTCCGGGGTGCCCGGACAGAGAAGAGGACCAGATAAGGATAAGAGTAAGATTTCGATCGGATTTTTAAAACTGCCGGATGGTTACCACCCAGGATAACCCAAGAAAGTCAGGTGGCGTCATCCGATGGACTGTCCTAAAAACCTTAATTTCCATTGGGGTCTTAATCTTGATCCCCGGCATATGCGGACCCACGACCAAGTCGACTTACACCCAGGTACCTATTTGCTGCTAGGTGAACAGGACAATAGGTGTAGGAAACGTATCGGAATTTTCCCACCCGCCGGAATCGAACCCGGGCCCTCCGTGTGAGAACATAAGAACAATTTAAGACATAAGAACGAGCAGGAACGATGCAGAAGGATTATGCTGGCCGCATGCGAAGCAGGTCAAGTCCCTACCGGCTTAAGCCAATGCACCCAACCTAGCAGGTCAGGGTCATCATTGACTTAAGGGAGGAACACGGCAACCGACCTGGTATGCACAAGCCTATCATTCCTAACTCGACAACCCACCCACACCACTCATGTATTTTACCAACCTATTTTTAAAGCTACACTACGTCTGGCCTCTATAACTGTACTTGGGAGTTTGTTTCCACTCATCCACAACTCTATTACAAACCATACTTTCCTATATCCTTCCTAATCTGAATTTTTTCAACTTAAAAACCATTGCTGCGAGTCCTGTCTAGGCTAGATATTTTCAGCATCAGCTATTTACATCCCCTTTATTTATTCCTGACTTCCATTTATACAACCTCAATCATATCCCCCCCTAATTCTACGTTTTCTAGAGATGTCAGATTCAGGGCCCTTAGTCTATCCGCATAGGGAAGGTTTCTGATCAGGATCAACTTTGCATCCGCCTTTGACGATTTTCAAGAACTTTATAATCCATATCTGTAGTTTTTAAGGTGACAAAAATGTGCAGCATAATTCTAATGAGGCCTAACCAAGATGGTATAGAGTTGAAGAACTACCTGAGGACTCCTATTATTTATGCTTCTGATATGAAGCCAAGGATTCTATTAGCTTTATTGGCGGAACACTATGCACGTTGTCCTTGGTTTTCAGAATCACTGCTAACCAGAACTGGTCCTAAATCTTTTTCGCATCCGTAATATTAATGATATAACATTATTTAGTTTATATGTGGCCATGGTTATCTGTCCTGTCCAACATTTAGAACTTTGCATTTGTCTATATTAAACTGCATCTGCCAACTTCTCCGACCAACTTGCATCAGTCTATTCATATCTTCTGGAGTGCTTCGAATGGTCCATCGTCAGAATGAATTCGACGGCCTATTTTGGTGTCATCGGCAAACTTGCCTATGTCCTCTTTATGCCCTCATCTATGTCGTTTTATGTAGATTGTGAACAGCAGGGGCCCCGAACAACTGACCCCTGTGGAACACCGCTCGTGACACTTCCCCACTCTGATTTTCTCCCACATTTATGCAAACTCTCTCGCCTATTTGACAACCATGCCTCTATCCAGGAAAAAATTTCTCCTCCTATTCCATGTGCTTTAATTTTCCCTCAATAGTCTCTGATGTGGACCCTGTCAAAAGCCCCTTATCTGGAAGTCCATATACACAATATCATATTTCATTACCATGAATCTACCTCCTCAAATCCTTAGTGAAAAAAAAAGGTTAATAAATCGTAGGCAGGAACCCCCTTTTGTAAAACCATGCTGAGATTCGTATGATTAATTATGCTTTTCAAGGTGGCGTACGAACTGCCTCGGCAATTATTGATTCCATAAATTTCGCCACTATGGAGGTTAGGCCTATTGGTCTACTATAGTTTCGATAGCTAAGGACCTGTCACCTGTTTTGAAAATAGGTTCACATTTGCCAATTCCACTTAATCTGCACCAGGCCAGTTTGTAGTGATGATGTGAAAAAGGATTAGCGCAAAGGTGTGCTAAGCACCTCTTTACATTCCTTTAGAACCCCTTGCATACAGTTCATCAGGGCCCTGGGAATTGTTAGGTTTAATTTATCATTGCTAAAGGTACCATGTCGCACTAGTGACCCTAATAGTGCACAGTTATTATCGTCCAGTTCTACATAATTATCATTACTGGAATATCGCTGTATTCCTCCTGTGTAAAAACTGAGAGGAAAGTATGTGTAAAAATTCTACACATTTCCTTATCACTGTCAGTGACCTGACCCGGGCCAGGAACATTTGATGGGCCTATCATGTCCCTGATCTTACTTCTGTATAAACCTGAAAGAATCCTTTGGGTTAGTCTTCGATTCCGCATGCAACTTTAACCTCATAATCTCTTTTTGCTTTTCTATTCCCTTTTTTTATTTTCTCTCTTTAACTGAATATATCGATTTCTCAATTGCCCCTCTCCTCTTTTATTTGCCTATAATAGTGCCTCTCTTTTACCAATCAGATATTTTAATCTATTGTTCATCCATTTAGGGATCATTTTTGTTTGATCTGATTTCGCTATTTTGGAACATAATTTTTGGACTGAGCAGCTTAGAACTATGCCCCTGGAAAGCATCATATCACGGCAACCATCACCACCTACTACCTGACCCATAGTCAGGGGTCTTCCAGTTTCAGCCCACCTAAGTAATTTTTCAGTCCTATGAAATCAGCCGAAGCGAAAGTCAGGTACGGAGACTGATTGGCCATTATTTATGGGAATTCCATGATATATTAAAAACTGAGGTGATTTGTTGATCACTTTCCCCAAGCTCAAGCAATTAACCACTCAAGATTATTAATTAGTGTATCCCTACTGCAATAACCAAGTCAAGAGGAGGTTTATTTTCCCCCTATTTGGCTCTGTCACAAACTTGTTTAAAAACAATCCCGATCGTATCATAGAAAGTCACCTGACTCTAAATTTCCTGTCAAATTGCTCCAGTCAATCTGCTATAGTTGAATCTCGCATGAAGTCACAACTTTTCGTATGTAGATGCCTTACGAATTTCGTCCCAGCTAGAAGTTTAGCTGCACATCCCTATCAAGGTTTAGTATTTGGGCCCTGTAGAATCACACACCCAAATTTAGTTTTTATCTCGCCCTACCGAGAAGCTGAAACCAAACGATTCAGTTGCTGACGCTCTAATTTAATATCTGTTCTAACACAACAATTAAATTGCCTCTGACATACATACGCAACTCCACCACCTTTCCTGTTGACCCTGTCAGTGTGGAATAATTTATAGCCTTGTATGTGACGATTCAGAGGGCATCTCTCTCTATCTTTCAGGATATGAGCCAGGTCCTCAGTTATAGCAATAATATCTATGTTTCCTGCACATGCAATTAATCTTAGCTCATCTAACATATTTCTTACAACTCCTGCTATTAGTTATAGTAAACCTTAAGGGAGCTATCCCTTGCTCCCTCTGCTGTCCCCCTTTGTTTGCTGACCTGATTCTATTGTCTTTTATTTATAACTTCGATGCTGAATGCCTGTTTATACATTTACTGTTTCCAACCCCAAGTGTTGCAACCTGCTTGTTTCCCACACACACCCATACCTCTATCTCCATCAGTTTAAAATGCATAGGCATATCACAAATGGCCTTCTCAATCGAGTCTGCAAGTGCTACCACCCAGCAGCCAGAGAGATGTACCCCACCCTTGGCATACATATCATGTTTTGGCCATAAAAAGTTGTTTCACAGTTGTCCAATGAAATGGGATTGCAAGTTCACTTGACAGTAATCTGTCTAGCCAGCAATTTACACTCAATTGCCCTAGACAACCATTCATTTCCTACTTCCCCTTCTAGGCAAGATGCGTCAGTGGATTGGGGGGGGATCCCTTCCCTTAGACTTAATGAATATCTATAGCTGACCTGTAACTTATCTAGCAGCTCTTCTCTCCTACCCTTCCCAAATCATTTCTTTCTCCACCAGCACTGAGACAGATAATGTGCTTGCTCCCATAACCTGACATGATATTATCCAGCCTGTTGACAATGTCCCCAACACCAGCTCCAGGGAAGCACTCTCTCTCTCATCTCTTCTTATTCCTATTACAAAAAGCACGGTCAATTATCTTTAACCTGAGAGTCACCAACCACGGAAGAATGCCTTTACCTCCATTAGCGGGCAGTAGTACCCTACCTTTCACACTGGCCACTGAAGTACATTCAACCGAAGAACAGAGAAGCGATTTTTCTACTCTTCAGATCTTCACTCTAACCTTTTCTTACCTGAGCGCCTACCATAACTGTGAACTACCGCTCACTTGTAGCAGGTGCTGGGCTTGCTCCTCACTGCTGGTAGCCGTTGCTCTGCCTCCCCAACTACAGCCTCCCCACAGCGAGAGACAGGACTGCACCTACGCCTGCTAGAAGCCTCATTCCCCGCCCCACAACTCAGCACCTCAACACTCTCATCCAGACCCTTGAGGTGGACATTCAGCCTCCTAATCCAAAGCCGGGAGCTTTTAGCCACCTGAACCACCGGGCCACAATGAATAAACATTTACAATAGATGTATCCAACATAGCAGCATATGCGTAGAAAGCCTGGGATAACCCAAAAAAGTCAGACAGTTACTTATTTCCATTGGGGCACCATAGCTTGTTAAGAACCCAAATGGAAATGTCACTTTGTCTGGCTTTTTTGGGTATCCTAGGTAATCTACACATTGATATGTATGATAATTCATGGACTGAGTTTATGTGTACTTACAACTGAATTATAAATACATTATTTGATTGATGACCATCAGCAATAAGGTGGCCTTCAGAGTCATTGAAAATAATTATGTGATGGTGTACAGACCATTTGAAGATGTACTGAGTAAAATCCTGGCATAAATCAATGAACTATATTTTAGGCTCATGTGAAGTTTGGTGAAGATTATTTTAGGCTCGTGTGTAGTAACAACAAGAGGGACGCGGAGGGACCCTTTGTGGCTCCACTCTCCCTGAGAAATTCATTCTCTCATTCACTAATTTTAAGAAGTATCTATCAGCGTGCACGGTTCACAGAGGAAAGAGAGCTCGCGAGGATGGTGAAGCACAATGAAACATCACAGAGACGCAGGCGGCGCTGTATGAGACCGCAGATCCCGCTCGGTGTCTGGATGCTCAGAAAAGTAAGGGAACCATTTACGCACAACATATTTCACTGTTTTTTTTGTTTTTTTTTTTGCTCTTCAGGGGAGTGGGGGGGCTGCCTTGATGTTAGTAAAGAGATTTTAATCCGAGTAATTGAGCCTCTTGTCTCATTCCCCCGAGGCAGCTGTATGACCCCTGCACTCACCTACGGGTTTACAGCTTTCCACTGAATATTATAATTCGTATTTTTATAGTTAATATTTGGGATGATATGAAATAATCTTGGTAAATTACCGATATGTTAGGTAAAAGGATTTAAGTGCAATGGCTGTCAAGCCATTTTGGCCTTTAAAAGCCTCAGAAAATGTTACATTAATTGCACTTCTCCCTTTTACTTAATGTGGTATGAAATGTTTGTTTACTTTTATTTTGAAGTATGGAACTGTATAGCCCTTGTGGTTTAGCGCTTCTTTTTGATTATAATAATTAATAATTGAAGTATGGAGTAGCTGACAGGTGGTAAAAAAGCTTTATTACTGAAGCCCCAGTGAAATAAGTCGGTCTGACTTTTTTGGGTTATCCTGGGGAAATTATACTGTATGATAATTGTACTAATGTCTACCTGTGACTAAATAAACTTACTTGCCCATAAGACTTTTTTTTATTGTCTTTACTGGTTAACACCACTGGCACTGGACAAGCACCTAAAGTCGGTTCCTGACCAGCCGGGCTGTGGCTCGTACGTTGGTTTGCGTGCAGCCAGCAGCAACAGCCTGGTTGATCAGGCTCTGATCCACCAGGAGGCCTGGTCACAGACCGGGCCGCGGGGGCGTTGGCCCCCAGAACTCTCTCCAGGTAAACTCCAGGTAATACCTATGCAGCCTCTCCTCACTTAGCAACGTACTCGTTTACCGATGACTCAGACTTACAATGGGCTCGCTGACCAGTATGCATACCTACATAATGTATATTAGAGCTGATTTCCTCTATTCTGTGTATTAATATTACCAACAATATGTTAAGTAAAAGGACACACATGCAACTATTGTAACATTTTATTGTGGCAACGTTTCGCTCTCCAGGAGCTTTATTAAGCTGTTACAAACAATACATGGACGCAGAGAGCATATATAGGCTTAGGGTGAGGTGTAATGCTAGTGGTGGTAGTAGTAGTAATAATATAAGTTGTAGTAGTAATACAATATGGTAGAACAATCAACTTGCACTTGAGTAAAAGGTTATAAAAGCTATTACTTGGGTAGCATAAAAATAGGTTAGACAAATGTTTCTGTTGGAGGTTGGATTAGAGAAGGTCTGTTTCAGTGTTCCTCCTCTGTAAAGTGCTTTTATAGTATTAGCAGGAGAGACTATGTAATGGCAAGGTTTCATTGTACCATATGGTACCATTGTACCATATGGCTACCATTGTACCATATGGCTACCATTATACCATGTGGCTACCATTATACCATATGGTACAATGTATCATATGGTTCAAAACTATAGAATTCCTCTTCAGATCCACTTTCATCAGTGTTAGAACTATAACTTGGGAAGAGGAGAGTCAGAATTCACCAGGGAGTGAGAGCTTCATTGCCACCAGGCATGATGAACAAAGCGTACTGAGATGGTGTTCGCACAATGCAATGTGAGTGCCCCAATTTTTTGTTTACTGCACACACTGACCATGCAGACCCATTCTCTTAGATGTAGGCCTATCAGCCTTCTCGCTCTATATTTGAAGCCGCTAGAAGTTTGGCGTAGATGTACGGCTTGGACCTTGGCTTCAAAGTGGCCTGGTGACTAAAGCTCCCACTTCACACACGGAGGGCCCAGGTTTGATTCCCGGCGGGTGGAAACATTTCGACACGTTTCCTTACACCTATTGTTCTGTTCACCTAGCAGCAAATAGGTACCTGGGTGTTAATCGACTGGTGTGGGTCGCATCTTGGGGGACAAGATTGAGGGCCCCAATGGAAATAAATTAGACAGTCCTTGATGACACACTGACTTTCTTGGGTTATCCTGGAGGCTAACCCTCTGGGGTTAAAAATCCGAGCAAAATCTTATCTTACCCTGAAAGGGTTAACTTGTAATGAAAAATTTGAGATAAATGTACCCAACACCACTTGTCGGCTTCAGCCTATGAACCCACAAGTGACTGTATATTTCAAGAGGATTTATATCAAGATGTTTGCCTCGCCAAGTGCTCTGCAGACTCCAGGAGATGGAGCTACTTGCCTCAAGGAATTCTGGAAGACTAAGTGTAATATCTTAGATTTTGTGAGGCTCATAGTAAATTCCTGGATTGAAGTTTTCACTTGGTGTCTTGATGTAGCCTAGAAGAACTTATAACCTTCAATCACCTATGACAGAAGGATTTGAGGCTGAGGAGGATGTGAACCAGGAGATCGTCACTTCTGGTGAGGCACTGGGGCTGAAGGTTGTTGAAGAGGATATGGAGAAGTTAAGTTAGGACCACAGACAGGAGTTGACAACAGAGGAACTCCAGGAATTAGGAGAGATGAATGAAAAGGACAGTGAGGAGGAAGAAGTAGAAGAAGAGGACCAAAGGATAACAGCTGTAGAAATTCAGTTTTTTTTTTATTAAGAAAGTTTGAAAATAATCATAAGAAAGCACCCAGACATTGAAAAAACTGAACTCGCTTCCTGTGTTTTTTTTCTGAATCTCCCACCGAGGTAGGTGACCTAAAAAAAAAATACTTTGCAACTTAGATTCCCCTCCAAATTGCAATAGCCTCATCCCTCCTCCATAGTGCTGGCAATGTACTTCTCACCTACAGGACTCAAGTCCAGTTAACTGATTTCCCTGAATCCCTTCATAAATGTCACCTTACTCACACTCCAACAATACAGGTCATAAACACCACTTACCTCAGCTCATTCCTATGTAACATGCTCAGAAGAAAGAGACTGAAACAAACAAAACAACTCTAGACAGTTTTTTCAAGAGACAGCAGTTGAAAAGAGCTTCACCATCCAACCAGTAACTTCTCCACCCTCTCCCCCACAACCAACTCTTCAGTGTAAGCATGCACTTCAGGGGTCTTGGAACAAATTATGTACCATAAAATTGCATATTTCGGGTATGAGTTACGATAGTTTTAAGGTACAATATATCTTCTAGAATGAATTAATATCGTAACTCGCAGGACCACTGACAGGTTTTTGTTGTGTAATTTGTGAGTGCTTCAAAACTTCAACACCAGTAACTTGAGTGGCTTTAAACTTATTGCTGGTTTATTTTTATCAAAGTAAGGTTTATTTTTAATAGACCATGTAAGCTCTAATTTGCCTTTTTTTTTTTAACTGGGATGTAGCTCTCTCTTTTCAGTAACATGCTTCATCTGATTGGCTTCAAACATTCAAAGTTGGTTGATCTTACTTAGTGGAAGGTTTTAATTAGTTGGACTGTGTATTTTTTTTTTTTGTGAAATTGCATTATTATTTTAAATGCAATAACCTGTGAATGCCTTTTGATTGGCTTCAGATCTTCAGTGCTGATATTTACCTACATTAGAAACTTATGATCCACTCTGTACTCTTCTTTTTGTGTGCATTTAGGTAGAGGGAGCTGGACCTGATGGATGTGGAAGATATCTTTCTTGGATTGTGCATTGTGGTCCAAACACATCTTGTTTGCACACCTATGATATACAGTAAACTCTCAGTACAAGGAACTTGTACGTAAGGGGATTGTCTAAGTATGTGTTAAACCAGAATACATTAACCCTTTCACTGTCGGTGTCATATTAGTATGGCTTACAAGCCAGTGTTGGTGCTGTATTAATATGCCAAAATTCTAGCGGCCTCAGATCTAGTGGGAGAAAGCTGGTAGCCCTACATGTGAGGGAATGGGTCTATGTAGTCAGTGTGCACAGTATAAAAAAAAATCCTGCAGCATGCAGTGCATAATGAGAAAAAAAAACTGACCATGTTTTTGGTTTAAAATGCCAACTTTGAGTTGTATTTTCGTATGGTATTTATGGTTGTATTCTCATTTTCTTGGCCTCATTTGATAGAATGCAAGATGTATTACAGAAATAGAGATGAATTTGATTGGTTTCACGATGAAAAGTACCTTGAAATTGAGCTCAAAGTAGCAGAAATGTTTGATTTTTGCCGATGTTCAAGAGTAAACAAATGACGTCACTGTCCAATACATGTCCAAATGGCCAGTCTAATACGCAGTCACGAATGGGTTGACATTATGTATACAATTATTACAATAATGCAGTAGTCTGCATAACATTAAATCTTCCATTTTTTGTGTGAATAAAAATTAAAAATGTAAAGCAAGAGTAATATAAGAGGGGCCTGGAGACATGACTGATGAACAAAGAAAGTGTTATTTTAGTGCCAAGAATGTCTGCATTGTTTATTTTGGACCCTATTTTGAAATTGACATCTTTTGAAATTTGTGTGAAATTGTCCAAATTGCCAATTTCTGACCATTTTATTGGGTAGTTGAAATCGGTAAATGGGCGGTTTCTTGTACTCAATCGATAGAACAAATGGAGTTCTAGCGAAATAGCTATGAGTTTGATTGACTGGAACAATGGAATTGGCCGAAAATAGGGCTCAAAATGGGCGAAATCGCCGATGCATATATGTCACCGAGACCACAAACTTCGCAAGAGCGTAATTCCGTAACTTTTCCATCAAATTTTGTACTTTTAGTGTCATTACTATTGGGAAAAGATCGTCTATCATTTCATAAGAAATTTTTTTTTTTTTTTTTTAAATTCTTCAACACAGCAAGTTTGTGAGCAGGGGTCTCTCGACAGTGAAAGGGTTAATATCTAAAAATAAAAAGACATTTAGGTTTTGTACTGTATACCTAATACATGTATAGTACTGTACACACAATTTGCAGTTATAATAATAAAAGTTGAAAGTGCAATTTACCCAGTGGAATTTGCCAGTTATTTTAAGAGTCCTTTTAATCAAGGGTTTCTTATAATACAAGATTAGGACAAGTCACTATGACATGCATACTGGTTTTCTTCTTTTGTGCTTAATGATATTATATGTAAACTACATTTTGTATACTACACAAAAAAAAATCAGTTTTGTTTGTTTCATATTTTAAAAACTGGCACCTTCACAGTCCAGTAACAATCCCTAAACACAGATAATATAGATGAGGTAAGGATAGATTAGAGAGTAGTACAGTATAAGTAGTGTAATAATGTTGGTAGAATTACCAACAATATGTAAAGTAAAAGGACACAAGTGCAACTAATGTGACATTTTATTGTGGCAACGTTTCACTCTCCAGGAGCTTTGTCAAGCCGTAATGGCTTGACAAAGCTCCTGGAGGGCGAAATGTTGCCACAATAAACTGTCACATTAGTTGCACTTGTGCCCTTTTACTTTACAGTATAAGTAGTGCTGTTTGAGGTACACAGTAATGTACAGTGGAACCCCGAGTTTCGTTCTTAATCCGTTCCAGGAGCTAGGACTAAAGTTGAAACGTCCTAAAGTCGAAGCAGTATTTCCCATAAGAAATAATGTAAATCCAATTAATCCGTTCCTGCTGTCTGGAGGCATGACAAAATAGTACTTCAATATGACACTATTATCAACTCTGTCTTATTTATCTATCATAATTCATCTAATATGACATAATAAACAATATAAATAACATAGAAACCTGATATACACTCTAGAATGAATAAAATATGTATATGTCATTACATATGTGGTGGCGGGGAGGAGAGTGGTTCCTCCTTCAGACGTGTTAGTAAAGAGAAAACGGAGTTTGTGAGACAAACTGCAATAGATCACTTCTTATTTAAGAAAACCATGATGTACAAATGAACTGGTGTACATACACCATTTACGTACCTTGCAGAAGATAGGCAGATCGGCTTGTGCTGTCAGGAGTTTATTTCGTTTCGTCCTTTTTCTGTCGCTTAATTGCTACAGCGTCCAAAACACGCCAATTGGTGAGTCTAATATTCTTTCACAAATGTGCCGATATTATTTATGCCATTTCTACACTAATGCAGTAGTCTGCATAACAGTAAATCTATTTTTTTGAGAATAAAAATTCAAAATGGAAAGCAGAAGAATGTGAGAGGGGCATGGGGACGTGACTAATGAACAGAGGAAATGTTATTTTAGTGCCAGGAATGTCTTTCTTGTTTATTCTGGACCCTGTTTGGAAATTGGCATCTTTTGAAATTTGTATGAAATTGGCAAAATTACTAAATTCTGACCACTGTATTGGATAGTTGAAATCGGTAAATTGGTGGTTTTTTGTACTCATTCGATAGAAAAAATGGAGTTCTAGTGAAATAGTAATGATTTTTGTCGACTAGTGCATTGGAATTGGCCAAAAATAGGGCTCAAAGTGGGCAAAATCGCCGATGCGTAAACATCGTCGAGACCGCTAACTTCGCGAGAGCATAATTCTGTAAGTTTTCCATCAAATTTCATACTTTTGGTGTCATTATGATCGGGAGAAAGATTCTCTATCTTTTCATAAGAAAAAATTTTTTTTTTTTTTTTTTTTTTTTTAAATTTGGGGGACCCTGAGAACAAGTCTCTGAGAGGGCCTGTGGACCCTGAAAGGGTTAACATGTAACAGCTCCTCAGAATATTCCATCCGTCTTCTCAATACCTCCACTTTCTCATCTAATAACGTCCCTCTTTGTTTTTAGCTTAAATCCATTTGTTCTTTAGGCTTTCTAAATTTATTAATCTCACTCAAAAGCTTTTTCATATTCTGAACAATATTTGTGGATAAAACCTCACCCATCCTCATTAGCTCTTTTACACTCCCTCACCACTATTTTTACTTTCCTTTTGCTCTCCATTTACTCCTCTCTGTTGATACAGTGTGGTATACTTTTCCTTAAGTTATAGTTTGTAGTTTCAATGTAAAGCAGGCATGGATTTGTTTCTTCAGAAATGCTTTCATTTAGTAACACATGAAATATATTCGTTGCAGGTTACGTGCATCCCGTGTATTAGTTGCTGGAGTGTGTGGGCTGGGAGCAGAGGTCATCAAGAATTTGGTTCTCTCGGGAGTAAAATCTGTCACTTTACTGGATCATCGTACAGTTACAAATGTTGAGACATGCTCAAATTTTCTTGCTCCGCATGATGCCATTGGTAAAAATGTGAGTAGTAATTATTTGTTATTTCTTTTTATCACTATTTTTTTGGTTCATTTTTCCTCTTCTCAGTTAAATTCACAAACCTTTAAAAAAAAAAAGGCACTTGAAAGACTAAATTCTTAGAGAATATTTACATTTTCCTGATTTTTCCAAAAACAAATTTACAAACCAAGTTACTTTCACTTAAATGTTTTTTTGTTCAGTCTACCTTATCATGAGTCTGGTTGCTGCTCCTTAATCACCTTTTTCCTCTTGTCCCTTTGATTTGAAAATTGGGAAACAAAGAGAGAGCTAGAAAGAATGTGGAAGAGAATGAGCTAGCAAAAGTGTGAAAGTGCAAGAGAGAGAGCTAGTGATGTTAACAGTGTAAGTATATGTATATGTAATTGTATATGTAATTGAAGGATGAGATTAACCATAGAATTGATGAAGGAAAAAAGGTGAGTGGTGCGTTGAGGTATCTTTGGAGACAAAAAACGTTATCCATGCAGGCAAAGAAGGGAATGTAAGAAAGTAATGGTACCAACCTCTTATATGG